TTGTGGGTTATGGGTGGGAAGGCCCATCTGGTATACACCTGGTTTTTAGCTGGGCCCAGCCAATGCTCGACGTGCGATTTTCAAAACCAAAAACCCACATGGGGCCCACATGGGGCCCATATGCGTGGGTTCTGGGTGGGAAGGCCCATCTGGTTTTTGTATGGGCCACGTGGGCTTTAGCCATCCCATACAAAACCCAGATGGGCCCCAGATATTTTGCTATCTGGGCGTTTACTAGGAGATCCTCTCCGACGCCGCTATCAATGTTATTGGAGACAGTCGAGTTATGGTATACGTTGTTCCTTAAAGGGAAAGTCCACCCCCAAAATAAGTTTGTTTCGATAGAGGCAGAATAATAAGAAAATCAGGTGAGTGAAAGTTTGAGCAAATTCTGAATGAAAATAAGAAAGTTATGAATTATTGAAGTTGTGATCAATCAAACACAAATTGGCAACTCTATGACGTATCATGCGAGCTCAACTTCCATTTGCTCAGTACTAAAAAAATCTAAAATTTTCATTTTCCCTCAAGAAAAATTTCAACCATACATGCACCCTAAATATAATAATTGCAAATATGTTTCTATACTCCCCCTGCAAGGAACAAATATATATTCCGTCATCAATAACGAAGAAAACATGATTTTATGGAATATTATGCACAAAGCAAATGAAGGAGAGCTCGTATAATAAGTCACAGAGTTGCCAATTTGTATTTGATTGATCACAACTTCAATAATTCATAACTTTCTTATTTTCATTCAGAATTTGCTCAAACTTTCACTCACCTGATTTTCTTATTATTCTGCCTCTATCGAAACAAACTTATTTTGGGGGTGGACTTTCCCTTTAATCATGGTCTATAGCTTTTTGAGCAAATGCTGAACCGTGTATAATATTTTGATTATGATCTACGCGTAAAAACACATACACATATCAACATATAATTTAACTCGTGATTAAAAATGTGGATTTTCTATACCTTCACATTTTGTCTCATTTACATATAGATAGAACTTTTCTTGGCCACAGAACCAACTCTCCTTTAAGCCATATGGTATTATTTTATCTCCCATGTAAATGAGACAAAATGTGAAGGTATCGAAAATCCACATTTTTAATCACGAGATAAATTATATACACATATCAACATATAATTTAACTCGTGGTAAAAAATGTGGATTTTCTATACCTTCACATTTTGTCTCATTTACATATAGATAGAACTTTTCTTGGCCACAGAAACCAACTCTCCTTTAAACACAAGTGCCATATGGTATTACTTTATCTCCCATGTAAATGAGACAAAATGTGAAGGTATAGAAAATCCACATTTTTAATCACGAGTTAAATTATATACACATATCAACATATAATTTAACTCGTGATTAAAAATGTGGATTTTCTATACCTTCACATTTTGTCTCATTTACATATAGATAGAACTTTTCTTGGCCACAGAAACCAACTCTCCTTTAAACACAAGTGCCATATGGTATTACTTTATCTCCCACGTCATTGATGGTTATTAGGTGGTTATTTTACCTGACTGCTTAAAAAGCATAAATGCTTGTAAGTAAGCAACCAGGCGGCAGACAAGGCGCGGATCCAGGATTTCTTGGGGGGGGGGGGCCCAAATTTGAAATTATGCAAGCCAAATATTGGTACGTAATGGTGACCAGCAGTGATGTAATGGGGGGGGGGGGTGGGTGCAGGGAGGGACGAGTTTTCCCCCTCCCTCCTTCGCGAAGAGCGGAAGCTTTGACATTTCAATAAATTATTAGAGATAGGAGACGATTCGTTGTACCGTTCCCAAAAATAATCCTCGTCTGAATTATGTTCCCCCCCCCCCTCACGCGGAAGCTTTTACGTTTCATTAAATCATTAGAGAAAGAAGACGATTCGTTGTGTCATTATCGACTCTTAATCTTCGTCTAAATTCAGGTTCCCCCTCTCGCGCGAAGCGCGGAAGATTTTACGTTTCATTAAATTACTAGAGAAAGAAGACGAATCGTTGCAACGTTTTCGACTCTTAATCCTTGTCTGAATTTCAAAATGTTCTTTTTCTACTCCCTTTTCCTTTTCACTCCTCTCTTTTTTTGGCCGGCATTTTTTGGGGGACCACCCCACCGCCCCCCTGGCTACGCGCCTGCGGTCAGATGAACATAAATTATGTTGATACCTTGTCCGCCCCGGAAGCTCAGGGGTGTAAGGCAATAATTTACGGTCAGATTAGCACTCAGGGGGTCCGCCTTAGTGCCCTCGGCGGGGTCCAGAGGGCAGAGCCCCCGAAGTTCAGGGGTTTCAGACTTTTAATTACGGTCAGATAAGCATTATTTTGATACCTAATTGTGACACTGGCAGGTTACTAATTGGCGTGGGGTTCAGGGGTCGGAGCCCCCGGAGGCCCAAGGGTTTTAGGCACTCAATTACGGTCAGATGAGTATCAAGGGGCCCGCCTTAGGGCTCTTTGTCGGGTCCAGGGGGCAGAGCCCCCGGAAGTTCAGGGGTTTTAGGTGTTTAATTACGGTCAGATGAGCATTTTTTGATACCTTATTATTTTGTGACACTGGCAGGAAACTATTTGGCGTGGGGCTCAGGCGGCAAAGCCCACAGAAATCAGGGGTTTTAGGCATTAAATTACCAACAGATGAGCATCTAAGGGCCCGCCTTAGGGCCCTAGGTGGAATCCAGGGGGCAGAGCCCTCGGGGTTTAGGCATTTAATCATGGTCAGATGAGCATATTTTGATACCTCATTATAATGTGACACTGGCAGTTAACAATTTTTTTCTTTCTTGCTCTCTTTCTTTCTTTTTCTCTTTAATATACTTTTTCAAAAAAGTGGGTGGTGGGGGGGGGGGGGGGGGGGGTGGGGGTTCGAGGATCCCGATCCCCGCCGTTCCGCAAGCCCTGACATGTAGGCATCTCAAGAAGCATTTCCTTGCCTCGCTGTAAATTTAGGAGTTTGTCATTTTCCAACAAACGCATAAAAAAAGTATAATATACTTAAAATTATGTCATTTCAGCATTATTTGTAAATCACCGTTATGGAATTAGAAATAAACCACGTTTGAATTTTATTCCCCCCCCCCCCCCGATCTACACCTTGTTGGCGGGAAAATTGCAACTGATATCCCTTTCTTCATTCTCTTTCTTTTTCTTTCCCTTTCTCTCCTCTTTTCCTTTCCCTTCCTTCCTTCTTTCTCTTTTATGTTTGCTGGAGGAGGGCAAGGTCATTTTGGCCCCACCCCGCTCTACACATTGTTGGCGGGATTAACCGCAACTGATCTCCCTTTCTTTTCTACTTTTTCTTTCTTCTTCCTCTTTTTCGTTCCCTTTTAGCTCTCCTCTTTTAAGGCAAGGGCCTTTTGTCCCCCCCCCCTCCGATCCACAATCTGTTGGCGGGAAAATTGCAACTGATATCCCCCTTCTTTTGTTTTCTTCTTCCTCTTTTTTCCTTCCCTTTATCTCCTCTTCTTTTTTATCTTTCCCTTTCCTTCCTTCTATTTTTATTTTTTGATTGGGGGGAGGCAACAGCCTGGGAGGCAAGTCCTTTTGCCCCACCTCCCCGATCTCCTTCTTCCCTCTTTTCCTTTCTTCTTCGTCTTCTTTTTTCCCCTTTCTCTCCTCTTTCCCTTTCCCTTCTTTTCCCTCTCTCTGTCTCCTTTTTTTGCGGGGAGGGGGGGGGGGGGGCCAAGGCCCGCTCGGCCCACCCCCCTGGATCCGCGCCTGGGTGGGGGAGGGATGTCGCACCCCATCATGACCCCCCTTTAGCGACGGCCTTGGTTGTTATCCCATTATTCTATTAAAAGAAATGCAATTCCTCATTATTTCATACCTCTCTTCTATCGTTTGTAATTCATTTTCCTTTTTTCCTTTCTCCTTTAACTCACAACAATTCTCTTTTGCGGGGTTCTTCTTGTGTGTTTTTTTTTTTTAGGGGGGCTACACGCCTGGCAAAAGAGACCCCATATTATGCACACTGCAAAATTGCGTGCCCTCCGCCCCTTTTCCGGTAAAAAAACAACAACACTTTCTTATAATGATCCCCCTTTCTTTCTTTTCTCTTCTCATTATTCTCCTTCTTTTCTCTCCTCCGTCTTTCCCCCTTTCTTCCCTTTCCGCCTTTTATCTTCTCTCTCTTCCCCTTTCTTCCCTTTTCTTTCTTCCCCCCTCCTCCCCCCTTCCGGCCCCCCCCCTTAATTTGTACGGGCGGGGGGGGGGGGGGGGGGCACGTGCCTCCCTGTGCCCCCTTAATCCGCCACTGACCGTTCTCTACTCTTAATCCTTGTCTGAATTCAGTTCCCCTCCCTCCCCTCTCGCGCGAAGCTTCGATCTTCTTCTTCTTCTTCTTCTTCTTCTTCTTCTTCTTCTTCTTCTTCTTCTTCTTCTTCTTCTTCTTCTTCTTCTTCTCTTCTTCTTCTTCTTCTTCTTCTTCTTCTTCTTCTCTTCTTCTTCTTCTTCTTCTTCTTCTTCTTCTTCTTCTTCTTCTTCTTCTTCTTCTTCTTCTTCTTCTTCTTCTTCTTCTTCTTCTTCTTCTTCTTTTTCTTCTTCTTCTTCTTCTTCTTCTTCTTCTTCTTCTTCTTCTTCTTCTTCTTCTTCTTCTTCTTCTTCTTCTTCTTCTTCTTCTTCTTCTTCTTCTTCTTCTTCTTCTTCTTCTTCTTCTTCTTCTTCTTCTTCTTCTTCTTCTTCTTCTTCTTCTTCTTCTTCTTCTTCTTCTTCTTCTTCTTCTTCTTCATCCACCACGCTTTACTTCAGTCTTTTTTCAGTATCCGGTCATGGGTTATTCCATTCCGTCTGTTCGGGGTTAATAAGGTAGTAAAATTGTTGAGATAGATGTAAAAAACAAAGAAGAAACCGAGACATTTTTTTTGATTGACAGATTTTGCCAAATAATTTGATTAGTAATATATTGTGTGGGTTTTATGTTTATATACTAGTACTTGACGAAATCAAATGTGGATTCGACCGAATGACAACAGTGCAAGTTCATTCATGCATCAGTGTATAAGCTCATCAACATCATTGTGTGGAGCTCTCTACGTCTTTGGTGTGGAGCCAGCTTGTGAAATCGTGCACGACTGACATCGCAGTCCTACGTATTCACTTTTGTGTCAGTTTTCCTTCAGTAGATCTAGTCTGGTTTTGGACGTTTTCAAAGGACAGAAATCTGTGAAAAGATCCACTCATATAATAATGGATGCGCTGAAGAAAGGCTGGTTCAGTGAACTAGGAACACTGTGGCCAGGAGAAGCCGCGTCGCTGGAAGTGGAGGAAGTTTTGTTTCATGAGCGATCCAAATTTCAAGATGTTCTTGTTTTCAAGAGGTAACTTTTTAGCATTTTAGCAAGGCATTGCCATTAGTCTATTGGAAATAGAAGAACGGCTTGTGTAGAGAGCTTTAGCAAGCCAACGGCCAACACTTCTTATATTAATATCATAAGTTAATTTGTATGAGGGATATTGAGAGCAGAAAAATAAGTTTTAGTTTTACAGAATGATTGTGGGAGAATGTAGAAAGTTTGAAATAAATCGGACCAGACACGGACTCCGAACAATGGGCAATAAATTAGAATTAGATCTAGATCTAAGGAGCAACTGTAGAATACCCCACAACCATGACAACTAAAATTGACCAAACGTTCGTAGGCCGTAGGGTACCAAATACTTCACCGATGAAGCTTTATTTCAAGACTTAAAGCTTTTTAAGTAACACTTGACCTAAACCTAACCCTAGGTCTTTGATATTTATGTAATGTACATTATGATTAAACCTATTGGCTATTGCACACATACATGTAGGATTAGGAGCATCACTAGACTATCCTGGCTGTGTGGTAAAAGCTGTGCTTTTGATTCTCAACATTTCAAACACCACTGTACAAAACTCAACTGATGTCACTCAAAATCGGTACTTTAGTGACAATTGATGACAGCTAATTAGCAGTAAAATACATTTTTTTAACATACTGATGTTAAAATTAAAAGAATAATTAAAAAATTCAAATCGTAAGTCTAGTGTCAAACTTTGCTTACAGCTGCATCAACATGATTGTGTACAGTCTATGCGATATTGTGTCGTGTGTATATTTTAGGGACACTGATTTTCCGTTTCAAAAAATGGCCTTTTCCGTTTCAGAAAATCTTGAATTCCGTTTCAGATGGGCTGAAAAACGGAAATTCCGTTTTGCCATAGACTTTGTACACATGAAAAAACTAAAATTCCGTTTACATAAGATTTTCATTCAATCATGAACTTGTAGGGTACAAAAGTTCTATTAAAGCCGCCACCTTTGACAAGCCACTGATAACCACTCAAAAACATACGGACGGGACTGGATAAACTTGATGCAAAATACTAGTGAAAATATAGACCCCTACGGGCCCTAGAGTCTAGGCTAGACCTACGAAAAATTATCAAATGTTTAGATTTACCAACTTCAAATTCAAACTTAGACTAGCAGACTAAAGTCAGCTGAATGTATCAGAACACGACATATTCTTGACGGAAATGCAGAGTAGTACCGACGTCAACGAAAACATTTTCAGTCTTGGCTGTCATGTCCGCGATCGATCGATTTTAGGCGCACATGCCAGCCCCTTTTTCGAACTGTACAACAGCGTGTGTACAATCTCGCCGCACGTAGCGCCCGCTACTGGCGTGTGTGTGCCTAGTATTACGTCTACGTAATACTTAGACCGAAAACTTCAGTCTCTCTAATCGTCGGTTGTTCCACTGAGACTACGTCCGGCTCCACTAGACCTCCGATTACAGAGACTGAAGTCTGGGGACCTCTTTCTGTGAGGCACTGTACGGAACAAATGGTTCGGTTCGACCGGACCGCGATGAATGAGATATGCAACGAGATTTTCACTCTTTACATCCTCATACATGCTGCAATATGACAATAATTTAGAGTCTAATTAAAAATAACATATATATAGCTTATTTGACTTACGATAGCTTGCTCATTTAGATCCTAAATTAATGATTAATCCGAGAAAGTCTCGTCGTCAACATTATCCGTCTTGGTTTTAGTTGATGAATATTCATTTTTTCTTTTCGAACGTCCAATAGCTACCGTAGCTATGTACGAGTCGGCCCAGCTTGACCAACGAACTCCCACGAAACGAGTGCTCTGATTGGCCATTTGGCTATGTTTTGGTAGGTGGACCCGGAAATATATCGGCCGCCGGGTAATATTTCGAATGCATGAACGTACCGTTTCACAGTTCGGAAATACAAATTGGATAATTCATATAAGTAAGTCCGTAAATTATACATTTAATATTAAGTTATCAAATTTTGATAACTGCAATTAGGACAAATGACATACCGACCTAATTTACATCTGATTTAGAAATCAGAAAATTAGATCTAAATAAAGAAAATCGGGGAGAAAATGTTTTGACACAAAAAGCTGCCATTGTTGGCTATAGCTACCCCCACGGTACGAGATCTCTGGGTTGCCATCTGTATTGGGGAATGACAACAAATGTCAGTTTTATTAAAGAAATGACCCAAATCAGATGGTTATTGCTGTCTACGTAATACTATGCACCTAGCTGGCATAATCGGATTGTTTCGCTGCTATTTGTACCGTGTTTTACGCCATGATCTCTATTGGTCCAGCGAAACAAAATGGCAGCGCCCGGTCTCCTAAGAATCTGACGAATATCCGTTCGAAATTGCATTTTCCGTTTCAAATGGTCAATTCCGTGAATTCCGTCCGTTTTCCGTGATCGCGGAAAATCAGTGTCCCTAATATTTGTGTATGGGTCTAATAATACCTGCCTCACAGCAAGCATGCGTGCAGTGCTAAAGGTCAATACGCATTAGCATTGACTCTCTATGCTTTGCCGGAGTGCCCTATTGGTGTTTTTTTTTTAAAGTTAAGCTTAAATGAAATGAGATCACCAAGTCTATCATTATCAGGCCTATGGCTATGTGAATCTCAAATTGGCAGTTTGGTCAGTGTATTGTTTCTCGTGTTAAAAAATATAATCAATTTCTGTTCCAAAGTGCCGCATTCTGAATGTAATGGGAATCAAATATATTACCGGTAGATGTCTTCTATAATTAAAGAGAATAAACCTTCCAGAGTCAAACTTTTTTGTTAAAATTGACATTTTAGTCATTTTGTGTTTTGGAACAGATGGGAAAGTTATCCGCCACTTCATCACCGAACATTACCGATTCAACAAAGTTTAGAGCCTAGATCTATATAAGTGATTACAACTTAAAAAAATTAATCAGGAAAAAAACGGGGGCAAACATTTTGATGGATTCCAGTGAAAATCTGCTTGTTAATTTCCTCAGGGGGTGGGGGTCACTCCCAACATGACTGGCTACACGTCCAAAGCATACCTGCCAACTACTACAATTTTGGCGTAATTATTACAATTTTTTGATTTAAATCACGCCTTACGATTTTTTGTCATAAAATTATGATTTTTAATTCTTTTTCAATTTTTTTTTTTTTTTTTCAATATTTTTTTGTCAATATTTTTTTTCAATATTTTTTTTGTTGTTGGCCCGTTCACCCGGCACTGTCCAGGTCAACGCTTAAACGTGCCCGGGAGAGCACCGGCATGGTACCAAGAGTAAAAAAAAGTTTCACAGCTCAATCACTGTCAACTCACCACTCAGAAAGTGGGACCAAGTGTCCAGATTTCTGTTTGGACTCTGAGAAAAATTAGTCTGTCATCTTTGGTTTTAAAAACAGCATTGTTTACTATTATTATTATTAAATCAGCGCCTTCAACTGCAACTCCAAGTAAAATCGCTTGAATTTTCGGTGACGGACCTGGGACCGTAGTATGGTGGTGTCAACAACAAAAAAATTGGGTATTCGAGTACCTCATTACACGCTTATGCACAGCCCTTTATTTTTCTCCTCCAGTTTCTATTTCATCAGGGGAATTTGAGCTTTAAGTCCTTGTTTTAAAAAAAAAAAATTATGGGGGAGGGGGTTGCATATGTGTCGAAAGTGAAGGAAAAAGGCATCCTACATGTTCAAAATACCAAAAGCTCCCTACCATGGGAGGGGGACAGCCCTCTCCCACAACCACCCCTTGCTCGGTCGCTTCGCTCCTTCGTTCTGTCGCTCCGCTCCGTCACAGTCCTCGTAAAAAATGATTACTATTTTTAGTCTTCAAAGGTTGGCAGGTATGCCAAAGGGTGTCTTTAAAAAGAAATTGCTCTACGGCTTCGTTGGATGTTTTCCTTAAAAAGGGTACATACACCATTAGGGTCCATTTCAGAAAAGGTACAATACGCCATTAGGGTCCATTTCGGAAGATGTGCGATGCATATCCCCATTAGGCCATTTAGGGTCATTTAAGAAATAGTATGATGTGCCATAAATAGGGTCTATTTCAGAAAAGGGGCGATACGCCATTCGGCCTGAGGGTCCAAGAGACCAAGACATTCTTGAACCCATTTTATTGCACATTTGCAAATAATGTTGTTTTTTTTTGTGTAAGGGGTGTGTTGTAATCCGTGTATTTTTTTCAAGTTTCTTTCACACAGATGTCTTTTTTGTTTGTTTCCCCCGTCACAGTAAGACATATGGCAATGTTTTGGTACTCGATGGTGTCATTCAGTGTACGGAGAGAGATGAGTTTAGCTACCAAGAAATGATCACCTTTCTTCCACTGAACTCTCATCCATGCCCTAAGAAGGTAAGCTTTGAAATCTCTCTTTCAAAGATATATTTATTGTTTAGCAGTTCTGAGTTTTCTTAAGGTCGTTGACTCGTACTGAATCAATTTGTCTCCTTAAATTGGCACCGATTAGGTGTATTTTTCACTCTTTCTCAGTTTAAAAAAAAATGTACATTAAATTATTGAATCCGAATGAAAATTACAGAAAATCAATAAAGTGCTAATTTGTACACTAAAATAGTGATATGAATTTCCCTTCGACATTGCCAATTTAGAGACTTCAAAGATTACTTTCAGTTAAATTGCTCTTGTTCATGAATGGCACAATGAACTTCTACAGAAATGGAGTCAAATTTTTAGTGATTTTTCCACTTTCTGCTCATGTATAATTTGTAATTCAGGGACCCGTTTCACAAAGCCTTTTTTCATTGACAAATGACTAAAATCGGTGACAAATCTGCTGATAACCAATCAGAAGCAAGGATTTTCTGTAGCTTATAACAAAACCTGTCATTTGTCACTGATGACAAGTTTTGTAAAACTGACCCCTGATCAAAAGAATAATTGCTGAAAGGAGACACCAGACCCATGGGTTGAAGATAAAACTATATATGAAAGGAAACTGTTAATGCAATTGCATGGTGTATTAAACTGTCTGGGAGCAATTCGAAAAGGTTGATTAAAGTACATACATGTAAAAGATAAGCCAGTTCTTAAATAGCGTCGGAACTCATGACCCCCAAATATCCACAGATCTTTTTTTACCTGATGGATGTGCATCCCACTTGACTTGTGCATTTCAGAATAATCACTGCTGAAGTGATGGAGGTGCTTCATGAATACCTTTTGTTTGCCTCTTCAGTCTTAAGAAGAATACTGCCACCTGTGTATCAGATAAATGTCATGTCTGTGCATAAATAAATATTGATTACATAACTTTCATGAGCACGATACCAGCATTTGTCTCAACGGTTTTACAATTTGTGAACCATGCAACAAACTGGCTTATTGGTGTACACTGTAGGTTGTGGAACCATCAAAATGATAATGAATTGACTCTAACTTGCCAATAGTGAATAGTCACAAACGCTGCACACAAGAATTTGTATAATAAGCCAGTTCACGGTTGCAGTCTGAGCATGAGCAGATAAAGGTCATTGCAGAACAAATTTTGAAATACACGGAGACGAAATACTGGATACGTGCTCATGAAAGTTATGTAATCATTATTCATTCATGCACATTCAGTGCACTCCATGATACACAGGTGGAAGTATTTTTTTAAAAGGGGAAACAAAGACTATTTCTATAGCACCTCCATCGCTTTAGGAGTAATTATTTCAAAATGTACAAAGTGGGACCTCTTCATGTTTTGAAGATCTGTGGATAATCGGGGTCATTGCAGTAATGTGCTAACCGTGAACTGGTTTATTATAGGAGTACACGTACATGTGGCATGAATTTGTGGTTCGATTAAAACAAAACAAAAATCAGTTTTTGTTGGGGGGGGGGCAATTTAAGGACATGAGGGCAGTTGAAGAGCAATGCTCTTCAGGAATCAGTTTTTTTTTAATGATATTCTTCCAAAGCGACATGAAAAAGATGAGAAAGCTCACACATTGTATTCATCTTTACCAGTTCTAAACTTCTAATCCAAATTTCTCTTGTCTATCCTTACTCTAAAGGTGCTAGTCATTGGTGGAGGTGATGGAGGGGTCATCCGTGAGGTCGTCAAACATCCTGATGTCGAGTCTGTGACACAATGTGAGATAGATGGGGTAAGGATAACCATTTTTATGTTATACCAATTCTTGTTCCCAAAACAGAAAAATAAAGTACATTGATGTGTAAGATACGTACTTCACATTATATTACTGAGGGCAGAAGTACGTTTAAGAGACATTTTGAAAGTGTCAGCACAGGTTATTTTTCTAATGGAAAGTGGGATATTGTTCCACGTCTTCGAAGCAGCCACTGTTAAACATTTGTTAGGAAATGAAAGTCTGGCTTTGGGAATTATTAGTTTATATTCGTCAGTTGGTGAGCGAAGATGTACACACCCGCCCCCCCCCCCCCCCCCCCCCACTCAGTGTTATTTAGGGTACGCATGCATGTTCCAACCGACCCCCCCTTTTCAGCAAAAGTCTGGTGTGTAAAGTCAATACGGCTCGACCTTTTTCTTTTGTATACAAGCCTTTTTCAGCACCCCCCCCCCTTTTCAGCAAAAGTCTGGTGTGTAAAATCAATACGGGTCGACCTTTTTTTTGTTACGAAAAGGACATTTTGGCAACACGCATGGGGTTCGTCCGTTCTCGGAGTGGGGGGCCGGGTGTACACAGAAGAACAGTAGCTGAACTTTCAGTTTCATGTTGCAAAAGTTTCAGTTTTTTAGAGTATTGGCTTTGGAGTTGTAATTTTCATCTTGAAATATTTTTTAATTTTCAGTGTGTTGTAGAAGTGTCCAAGAAGTACCTGCCAAACATGTCAAAGGGATACGACAGTCCGAAGCTCACCCAGCATATAGGTGACGGGTTCGCCTATATGAAGGAGAACAAGAATGCCTTTGATGTCATCATAACAGATTCTTCAGATCCTGTAGGCAAGTAGATTTGAGAGAAATTCTGAAGCTTTCATACCGCAAACAAATGTAACGGGTGTATTTTCAGGTACCAACACGACTAATGTATTTCATATTCAAATGAAATTCACTATCGCTTACATCATTACTCTGTTATTGGATACGGTAATTATTTTTTGTATAAATTAACAATGTTACTGAATGCCTGTAACAATCAAGGAAACATTGGAAGAGGATTTTCCAAGATTGATCAACATTTTTCCCATCGAGGCCTGAACAAATAAGCCTACCGGTACTTAAATAGCTAGACATATCGCTATATAATGCGCTTCCTCATTACCTGAAATCATCACTATCAGGGGAATGATTTATATGGAAATTGCAAACTTGTTTTCAATGCTCCTTAAATATTTGATATTAAATGTTATTACAGCTGGGTAAATACTATTATCTCTTACCCCGGGATGATATCTCAAAGTGCTTTGTATCTGGTGGAAAAGGTACCATATCAATGACAGTTGTAATATTATTATTATTATTATTATTATAGCATCATTATTTAGAATGTTGTTGGTTTTATCACGACTGACATTACTAGCAGCAGTAGTTGTTGTAGTAGAAGTAGTACTATTAGTAGTCATTAGTCATTAGTCATTAGTCATAACCATACAGTAAGTCGTTAGTCGTCATCATCATCATCATCTTCATCTTTTTCATTCTGGTCATTACTATTAGTCAGGTACACAGACTGCTCCAACAGGGAAATGGTGTTTATCTTTCTTTGAATGCAGATTCTTAAGTAAAATTTTATTTTTGAAAAATCAGTGCCAAAATTGGTGTTTTTATGCATTTTTAGAACAAATATTTTTTCAAAAATCTGTCGTTGGCATATTATCCAATATTAAATTTCTACTTAACAATCCGTATTTAAAAAAAGGTGAAAACCATTTCCCTGTTGGAGCCATATGTGTACCTAAGTATTTGGGTACACACACAAATGGTGTCCAATTCTCCATGAGTACCCACTACTATGTTTCTTTAATATATGCATACTTTGTCCTGCTTTTCACAGGGCCTGCTGAAATGCTCTTCGAGAAGGAGTACTTTGAGTTAATGAGGAGTGCGCTTAAACCAGGAGGCATCATCTGTACACAAGGTGAGCAACTCTGACGGTGTACTTGGGTGCACAGACATAAAACTTATTTGCCAGTCGTCATGTTTGATAGCTCTCACATGGTACACTCAAATAAAGAAACATAAACACATGCCATTTACAAGACTCGTAATTATGATCAAGCTTTATTGTAAAGCAAAGTAGAGTACCAGTTTCTGACGAAAGAGAGAACGGTAAGAACAAAATAAATACCCTCTTTTAATGACTTTCCATACACTCAGTCCCAGCAAAATAAACCAACCTTGTCTAATCAAATATAAATGTTTACCACCCTTGTAACAGGTATCATATCATTCTATATAAAAATATATCTGGATTTTATTATATATGAAATCTACATTTGTATGAATACATGACATATCTGTAACTTATATCAACTACCTCATTCACTCTTTGTTCTTGAGAAACATTACCTTGACATAAACAGACCTCTTATCCAGTAACCAACTCTACGAATTTTACCTCCAGTTGACCACGATCACTTCTCAATACAATCAACAACTAATTTCTTGTCATAAACAGTCATGTTAAATCCAGACCTGAACTGTCCGCTTACTTCACTCTTGACCGACCTTTCCTTATGAGCAATTTCAAAGTCGTCTTACAATGCATGCATCAACAATACAGCAGATATGAAAATATATCTACACTCAATCTTGAAATAGTCAATATGCCCAAATAGGACTGTCTCTGCTACACCTTTGACAAGTTCATTGAACTAATTTGTCATTTCAACAACTTCCAGGATAGTCTTTCCATCTTCTTGGCACAATTACAGCTCACCATACTGTCAATTTGCATTCTCTATTCTGGTGACGCCATGTTTTTGGTGAACTGTTCACGTGTCCATTTGTCCCCTCTCGCATTCAGCGACTCGAGTAAAAAAATCAGCCTGTCTCCCCACACACTGTGCCATCTAAAATGTAAAGAGTTCAGGCACAAACATTTCTCTATTATAGGCTCTTCATATAGGTGATACATGCATCAATTGAAATTGCAAGATATTTTTCTCTTCTTTAATCATAATGTTCCTTGCCAAAAGCATATTTGATAGCAAATCGTAAAAAAAACACGTTACCGGTATTCTTTTCTCGTACTTCAACTTGTCATTTGAAATAAAATCACCCTTCATAAAGGGGGTATCTCACTGAGTGGCGATTAGCTAATTTTCTGATGAATGTTGGTGAAAATCAGGGTTCACCTCTGCAATTAGCAACATTTGAGCGAATGTTTGTGAAAGGCAGTTGTCGACTATTAACAACAGTTTTTGTGAAGATTAGCAACCATTTGCCAATCCTTTGTCACTACTTGTGAATGTTTTATATAGGATTTATATAGGAGCCATATGGTCACATGGTCGCTAGCATTGGCGAATCAAAAAAGAATTTCAGCGACACTGTCTTTCAACCGTTTGCAAAGGCTTACGACTGTTTTGCAAGCGCTTGAAAATGTTTGCAGAACAATAAATTTGCAAAGAAAAACGGTTTGCGACAATGAAACCTGTTTGCGAATTTTCTTGCAACCTTTTATACACCTTTTACGAACCCTGGCAAAACCGCAAATTTGCTACGTTCGCAAGCATTCGCCGCTCAGTGAGATACTCCCTTTAGAGTACAAGATTATACAATTACCGGACGTATACACAACTACCAAAATACACGCTTATGCAAAGCCTTTGATCCGATCTATTCCTCTTGATAGTTTGTAGATTTGGATTAGCTCAGCTCCTTGTCTTCTGTATGAGATGATAGGTAATCTTAGAGCTTTTAACTGCTCAGGGTATTCGAGATGATGAGATGGGGTAGAAGTCCTTTTGCTCTCTGTTGTAATTTAGTCTACGGGCTGCCAGTTTTTAGTATTTCAATAAACCATACCATGAAGCTAAAGCCAGGGCAGTAATTCCCCACACACAGAGTCTTTTAATCATGAGAGAATATTAGTGCTGTAACATCACGGATATCTCCAATGCCAGGTGGAGGGGCATAAATTGAAACTTAAAAAAAAAAAAATTAAAAAAAAACGGGAAACAAAAACCGTCCAATTGAAAACGGAATCCGCCATGGGCGGTCGGATACCAGACGGTTAAACGTTTGACTACAGCACTAGAGAATATGACTGTCTTTCACATTTTAAATATATTCTTTTATCTTAACATTGCTTTATCTGTGCAGGAGAATCATTATGGCTTCATCTAGACCTTATCAAGTCAATGCAGAAGTTCTGCCGGACACTGTACCCAGTGGTAGAGTATGCTTTCACAACGATACCAACCTATCCATCTGGTCAGATTGGTTTTACCCTCTGCAGTACAAGTTCGGTAAATAAACATTCATTACAATACTGTATTATTGTGTACAATTGTGAGGTCATAGAGTGGTGAAGTGCGATGTCATCAAAAAACTATTTTTAGAATTTCTCAATTTGAACTTCATTTTCCGAAAGAGCATCAAAAATAATGTCCATATATCGAAAACCAATTGAATATATGTTAAGTATTGGCTGAGATATAAAATAACACTGAGTTTCTGTATGACATTTTACCTCTGACATTTTTACCTCTGACAATTTTACCTCTGACATTTTTACCTCTGACATTTTTACCTCTGACATTTTTACCTCTGACACTTTTACCTCTGACATTTTTACCTCTGACATTTTTTCCTCTGACATTTTTACCTCTGACATTTTTACCTCTGACATTTTTACCTCTGACATTTTTACATCTGACATTTTTACCTCTGACAATTTTTCCACTGACATTTTTACCTCTGACATTTTAACCTCTGACATTTTTTCCACTGACATTTTTACCTCTGACATTTTTACCTCTGACATTTTTTCCTCTGACATTTTTTCCTCTGACATTTTTTCCTCTAACATTTTTTCCTCTGACATTTTTACCTCTGACATTTTTACCTCTGACATTTTTACCTCTGACATTTTCTCCTCTGACATTTTTACCTGGCACCCTGTTTTCAGGCCGCAAATGCCTTCAAAGTGCATGGTAATTGCTCTTATTCTTATCCATGACATTTCTAGTGCCCTTTTAGAACCTAAATTTGCTATGAAGGTAATTTTAGACCCCAAATTGTGTGAAATTTATCCAATACGATCATACCAATTCATTGCTGGCGGCTCCACTTTCGAAAAAATATGGTGCACAACAGTGTAATGAGGTACCCGAGTACACTCCCAGGCTCACAGGCGAATACCCGAATATTCGGACGCCATGTTTTTTTATAATTTTTTTGAATTTTTTGAATTTTTTTGAATTTTTTTGATTTTTTTTGAATTTTTTTGATTTTTTTGAATTTTTTTGATTTTTTTTGAATTTTTTGATTTTTGGATTTTTTTCCTTTTTTTTCCTTTTTTGCCACTAACATACCACTCGGCAGTTTCTCAGGACCCTCGCTGAAAACGCATGCAACTTTACTTAGAGTTGCAGTTGAAGGCGCCGATTTAATAAGAATAATAACAGTAAACAATGCTGTTTTAAAAACCAAAGATGGCAGAATAATCCATTTTCCTCCAAGTCCAAACAGAAATCTGGACATTTGGTCCCAGTTTCTGAAAGGTGAGTTTGACAGTGCTTGAGTTGGGAAACATTTTTACCGACGGTACCATGCCAGCGGACGCCGCTCTCCCTGGCACGGGTAAGCGTGGGCCTGGACATTTTTTTATTTTTAATTTTTAATTTTAATTTTTTTTTTTTTTTGCGGCCGAATATTCGGGTACAAGAAATCGTACCCGAGTAGTTGTCAACCGTGCGGGTACTCGAGCATTCGACTACCCGTCGCAGCCTTAGTGACCGTTAATTAATTATTTAATTAAAAATAACAATACATGGGCCGGCTGGTTGTGCGTAATATAACAACACAAAAATGCCAACAAAAAAGCCAACATCGGCATTGGCTGAAATACGACGTAAAAGGCGCTATTTCGTGTTTTTTTACGGCTTTTTCAAATTATCTCTGAACCGACTTTGATCAAACAAAGATGAATTTGTCATTTAAATTGTATGTTCTTTCAAATTTAACATTCAGTTTTTCATTATCTCACAAAAAAATTATTTTGTGTAGTGCCCTCTGCAACAGAACTCAATTATTCATGATGATATACTGAGCCGCAGGGAAAGGGAGGGGGGGGGGGGGGGGTTGGTGCATTTTGGAATGTTCCACCGCCTCTAAAAGAGCCTAATCTGCAAGCACGGACTTGACTATGACTCTTCAACACAATTCCATATGGTGTTGAGCAGATCCTAACTCTGTTAGTGACTGGCTGCTCATAAGTCATAAATCACAATTTCAGAAACTTGAATGGGCCACGTGGCAAATTCATTAGGAGTACCTGCTCTAGACTTGGTATTTTTCAGGTTGCTACACGATCTGCCTCCATATTTTTATTTCCCACCTAGGACACTGACTTCAGAGATCCTGTACATAAACTCTCGGATGAGCAGATCAAAGAGCTGGGACTGAAGTATTACAACTCCGACGTTCATAAAGCTGCTTTTGTGCTACCCCAGTTCGCCAAAGAGGTACAGATATGTGTCCCCTTTGATATTGACCTCCTCACCCCCTCCTAAACATTATATGCATGCATGCTCTCTAATTTCACAGTGCATAGCAATATCCTTAGGTTGTTGGTAAAAGTAAGGAAAGGCTTTTCTGCCACTTGAGACAAAACCCATTATGTGACCCTATAAATCATCAGAAAGTTTTGCAATTTTTTAGAGTGGTTTAGATTTGCACATTTCAGTCTGCCAATATAATATACACATTTTGTACCTCAACAAATTAATTTCCTTCTTTATATGGCTGTTGTAGTTAATTGTATCTCCCGGCAGTATGCCGATGGAGTACTTTGGATTCAGCAGCGTTACGCCGCCGCGTCATATTCATGTGTGCGCTCTAACTACCATATTCCTTGACAGATTTCTTTCAAATTTTGTATGGAGGTGTATCTTGGTATAATCTACACACCTAAAGCTTGTGGTATGCTAAACCCAGTGTTACGTCTTCTATAGGGTAAAAGGCCATATTTTTGTGGATGGTTTAATTGTTGGCGCTCTATAGGCCACATTTCTCAAGGGGTTTTGTTTAAATTTTAAACAAAGGTGTTTCTTGGTATAATCTACTAGCCTATAGATTTTGGTGATGCTGCCTCAAGTGTTCCATCTTTTATAGGGTCAAAGGTCATATTGATAGATGATTGATTGATGTGTGCACTCTAGTGTGCAGTCTTACCGATTCATTTCTTGGCAGATTTCTTGCAAATTTGCGTACGATCTACGAGGGTATTTTGCGATATTTCTGGTTATACCTGTGTGTAGGAGGTTGTCCTGTTTGAAAGGAGTGCAGAAGGCTGTGTGATGTGGGTGCATATACAACCTGTTACCACCAGCTGATATATAATTAAACTTGTGTGTGGGGTGGGGGGGGGGGGGGGGGTTGTCATGATTGAGAAGAGTGCAGAAGGCTGTGTGATGTGGGTTCACCACACCCTTTTACCACCAGCTGATATACGATTACTCCTGTGTGTAGGGGGGGGGGGGGAGGGTTGTCATATTTGAGAAGAGAGCTGTGTGATGTGGGTTCACGACACCCTTTTACCACCAGCTGATATATGATTACACCTGTGTGTTGGGGGGGGGGGAAGGTTGTCACGTTTAATAAAAGTGCAGAGAGCTGTGTGATGTGGGTTCACGAAACCCTTTTACCACCAGCTGATATATGATTACATTTGTGTGTAAGGGGGGGGGGGGGGGAAGGGGTTGTCATGTTTGAGAAGAGTACAGAGCTGTGTGATGTGGGTGGACGAACACCCTTTTACCACCAGCTAATATATGATTACCCCTGCGTTATTATTCCCCTCACATGATTTTCAACAAAATGCGTATTTCTCCATTTCTGTTGCAAACTGATACATTCCTAAATTGACCGGAAGAGTATGTTGTTTTATAGTCACTAAGGGACCGTGGCCACTAACAGTCAGAGATTCTAGTAAAATCCTTTCAAGAAGCAACTGTGACAAGTACTGTCAGGCGTTCCATACTTACATCCTGTAACACTGCACATGTACCGTTAAGGGGCCCAGTGGGGAAATTGAATTCAGACATTCAGTTATAGTGAACGGTACAACGAATCGTCTTTTAGCTTTCTCTAATACTTTAATGAAACAGCAAAGCTTCCGCGCTTTTGGGGGAGGGGGGCAACTGAATTCAGAATAGGATTAAGAGTCGAGAACGTTACAACAAATCGTCTCCCTTCTTTAAAAAAATAATGAAGTGCTAAAGCTTCCGCGCTTTGAACGGGGGGGGGGGGGGGGGGGAGGGGGGGGGGAACTGAATTCAGACAAGAACACGATACAACGAATCGTCTTCTTTCTCTGATAATTTAATGAAACGTGAAAGCATCCGCGCTTCGCGCGGGATGGGCGTAAATGAATTCAGACAAGGATTAAGAGTAATAGTTTAATGAAACGTCAGAATTTCCACGCTTCGCGCGAGATGGGCGAAAATAAATTCAGACAAGGATTAAGAGTCGGAACTGGTACAATGAACTGTCTTCTTTCTCTAATAATTTAATGAAGTGTCGAAGCTTCCGTACTTCGCGTGGGAGGGAAAAACTGAATTTAGACAAGAACACGATACTAATCGTCTTCTTTCTCAAATAATTTAATGAACCGTGAATGCTTCCGCACTTCGCGCGGGATGGACGAAAATGAATTCATACAAGGATTGAGAGTAATAATTTATTGAGACGTCAAAGCTTCCGCGCTTCGCGCGAAATGGGTGAAAATGAATTCAGACAAGGATTAAGAGTAATAATTTGATGAATCGTGAAAGCTTCCGCGCTTCGCGCGGGATTGGCGAAAATGAATTCAGACAAGGATTAAGAGTAATAATTTATTGAAACGTCAGAACTGCCACACTTGGCGCGTGAGGGGGGGGGGAACTGGATCCAAACAAGAATTAAGAGTTAGAGAACAGTACAACAGACTGTCTTCTTTCTCTAATAATTTAATTAAGTGTCAAAGTTTCTGCGCTTCGCGCGGGAGGGGGAGACTGAAAATAACTTAGTTCCTGGCCCCGGGTTTATAGGGTTAAATTTGTAGTCATTTGGACATTCGCATTAATATATTTGTTGGTAATTGGTTGCTCGTTTTGTCGGTAATCAGTGGCCTCTACACCCTCCCCACTCCCCCACTGACAAATATCTAGCGACACAGTTTATACACTCAAGAAAACTTTTGCAAGTACTACTAATGAAGTACCGGACCACCGTCTTTATGCATTGTGCAGCATCAAAGCATATTACAACGTCTCAAGACGTGACAGATCACTTTTCTCTAACTTCTATCCAATCAGAAGGCCATGTTTTTTTCCAGGTGTTGCCGGTGGACATTAATGTGCCAAACGTGGTTCTCAAATTGCAAAAGATCCCTACTCTTGGAAGGGGTAGGAGAAAGAAATTTTACGTCATATTACTGCAGGAAGTACCTGAAAATGCGTCTAATTTGGCTCTAAAATTGCAAATGCTTCTTACTCTAAGAGGGGGCCAGAACCTCCTCCCAGACCCACCCCCGCTTGGTCGCTCCGCTCCCTCGCCGCTAAAGCCTCGTTTTGTCGCTTCATCGTTTTACATATATTTAACCCCATGCCATTTTGTGCCCCCCCCCCCCCGGAAAGAAATTCGTGGATCCGCCACTGATGCCTATACCCCTTGAGCTTCGGGGGCTCCGCCCCTTGACCCCCGCCAGGGCTTTGCCCCTAGACCCTACTTTGCGAAACGTTCAGCGGGGTCTGCATGTTAGAGTGGGGTGCTGCGGATTTTTTTTTGTCAGCCCTTCCAAACGTTTTTGCTCATTACGCCAGTCTACAAGCCTATAGATTTGGTGATGCTGCCCTCTAGTGTTCCTCTTAAATGGATCACACTAGACAAACGGTTTGAGTTAAGTTGCGTTATGATGATATATAAATGCGCTCATAACTTAAAACCTTCTTACCTTCAGGTAGGCTTAATCAATCCTAATGATGTACATGAGCATCATACAAGGCAAATAGACAGTGGATGTTTACGTGTGCCTAGATTTCACACTGAATAAGTGTAGCCCAATTGTTTCTTCCATATTTGAATGGAATAAGCTAGATAATTTGATGAGAACGGCTTCCTCTGTCAACTCATTTAAGAGATTTATTAAACAAAGTTATAATTTGTAAATGGCTCAGCCGAACATATACTCCGTGCATGTTCTGTAATATTAACATGACTTATTCAAATAATTGCGACTTAATCAATATTTCCTATTTACATTACTTTTGAACTAGGTTAATGATATATGTTTATTTTGCAAACGAGTATTATTTTTGAACTGTTCTGTTTAAACGTTATGCTCTTTGATGTACATGTATATGTTCATGTTTATTCAGGGCCCCATGGAAGACCACTACTTATTGGTGAATGGGCTACCCTGTCAAAAGATTAGATAAATAAATAAATAAATAAATAGGGTAAAAGGTCATATTTTTGTGGATGGTTTTAATTGTGTGCACTCTATAGGCCACATTTCTCAAGGGATTTTTGTTCAAATTTTGAACAAAGGTGTATCTCTGTATAATCTATAAGCCTCTAGATTTTTGTGATGCTGCCTCCAGTGTTCAATCTTTTATAGAGTAAAAGACCATATTTTGGTGACTGTCTTTTGTGCACTCTAACTGCCACATTTCTTAACAGATTTCTTTCAAATTTTCTACAGAGATGCATTATACTCTAATCTACACACATATTGTTTAGGTAATGCTGCTCCTAGTCTAGACAATAGTCCGAGCCACTAGTGGCGACCTCTTTATGTCATCCTATTGTTTTAGGGAGAGGAGAGGGGATCTTTGTCCCTCCTTCGAACATAAGGATGACACAAAATCGCTGCCACTGCCGGGGGATACATTCGCATTGCGCGGCAATACAGATTGCGATATTTCTAGTTTACTTCTGATCATATATATTATTAGTTTTGTCGCCCATATAGGTTCTTTTCCTGAGGCCGCCATCACATTCAAGCTTTAGCTTAAGATGGCTGTCTCCTGCATTTTTCAATTTTGAAATGATTTGTCAAATATGAGTTTTTTTTAAGGTAATTACGTGTATTAAATTGATTTATATTGTGATATAATTACACTGTATATATGTATTTGGCTTTTGTTAGTTATAATTGTGTAAATGGATAGATAGATAGATATTTGGTTTTATTCAAGTACTGATTAAAAAGTCCGAAGACTAAACAAGTCAGTTAACAATATAAAATGCATAACAAAAAATATAACAAGGTAAAAAAACACATGGATGAATTAAATCATTATTAAGTAAAAAAAAATATAATAAGTATATAAGTACATAATAATAAGTAAATAAATAATATAAAAAATTACCATAAATAATTATATATAATACGATCATTGCTACAGTGAAAGGACTTGGAATTCAAATTAGAAACAAATTAAAACAGCTTTGGGAGATCATACAATTACCATAAATAATTATATATAATACGATCATTGCTATAGTGAAAGGACTTGGAAAATTAAAAACAAATTAAAACAGCTTTGGGAGATCATACAATTACCATGAATAATTATATATAATATGATCATTGCTATAGTGAAAGGACTTGGAATTCAAATTAAAACAAATTAAAACAGCTTTGGGAGATCATACAATTACCATAAATAATTATATATAATATGATCATTGCTATAGTGAAAGGACTTGGAATTCAAATTAAAAACAAATTAAAACAGCTTTGGGAGATCACATTAATACTAATGCTTGAGATAATCATTATGCAATAATTAATTAACATTTAAAAATTCACAATGGCGAACATATGAGGGCATAACTAAGAAGTTGAATTCAGAAGTTGTATAAAGTAAGGAATGGGAGAAAGCATGCGTCTTTGAGTTCGTATACGAGGTAATGTCATGTGTGTAGAGTTCCGAAGATTGCGACCTGTGATTGATTCTCTACTTTGTGGCAAGAGATGGCGATGGTCAGGAGAGGTTAAAACTGATTTGGCAAATTTAGTTGCTAGTTCGAGACGCCTATTACTAAGGGATTCTAGTTTTAAAGTTTTGAGGAGTTCACTATATGGCAGTAAATTTGGGTAAACGATTATCCTCAAGGCTCGCTTCTGAATACGTTCGATGGTTTCAGCCTGAGCCTTCGTTATACCAGAAGTCCAAACGGGGGCCGCAAACTCCAGTACTGGTCGAATGTAGAGCTGATAGATTGTCACCAAATCTTGAGTGTTGACCCCATTCCTTTTTAACTTATTGATGATGAACAATCTCCTCGACGCGTTTGGTATGATGCGATCGACTTGTTGATCCCACTTGAGGTCATATTGGATGATGACCCCGAGCAACTTAATCGCGGAAACAATCTCCAGGCTAGCTGAGTCGATGAGCAGATCAGGAGGATGCTGTGGAGTTCGGAGAACTCCATATTACTTTTTACTATGTTGAAAAATGCAGAAATAAACTCAAACAAAGAAACACAGAATTTTTGTTTAATTTGAAAAAGATTCTTTCTGTGAAAATTGCTGTTGTTGACAACATTTATGAAAGTTTTATTGTCACAAGTTTCTAGTTACTAGGGTAGATTTGGCAATATGAATTTTCTGTTGATGTGACTACATCCCAAATGGCACAATAAAGTTGGTTCACTTGATATTTGTCCCTGAGACAATTGCTCTGGGCTTTATTTTGTCGAAAGTATAGAGTTAGCATACCTGCCAACCCTTCCGAATAATCCAGAATATTATGTTTTTCTGGTTTTTTAGGTCCCCAAAATCGGGAATATCAGTGCCAGATTTTCAAATTTGGATTTTTTAAATTTATTTATTTATTTATTTTTTTTGTTGTTGATTTTTTAATATTTTGTTGTTGTTGCTTAAGCCAAATTAAGCTTGTTTTATCATATGCCGCGATGTGAGAGTTCACGTATTGCGTGCGTTGAAGGGCTGCATGATTGAGCAGCGAATTTGTATTCGCTTTTTTGCACAGATTTACCGCGTATTACCAGTTACACTGCCGCTGCAAGTGCGATTTCTTATTACCGGTATTGCTGAAGATATATCGTGCTACAAATTCCTAATTCATATTTTCAAATGTTGGCAGGTATGCAGTTGCTCTAGGCTTTATTTTAATAAAAGTATAGAGTTAGAGTTAGGGTTAGTTTTAGTGTGTGGTGCAGGGTTTAAGTTAAGAATTCTGCTAGTATAGGAAATTTTTGCGGAGCATCTTTTGCAGGAGCAAGTGCCGTAAAACCCTATATTTACTTTTGTTTCATGTTTATAAATATATTTTGTTTACATGTAGGCACTTCAAGAAAGCAGTTCTAATGGAGCTACAGAATGATGTGTAATTGGACGTGAAGGATCTCTAGATGCTGCAGGGTATTAAACCCAACATTGTTTCTCAGCTCTCCATCTCGAGGCTCAACTTTGACCGCTGATATGGACAAACGCACAACAGATATAGGAAATTCTGTATTCTGAAAACTATGTTACCTTTTGTGCTGGTACAAAAAACAAACATTATCCAACAAATGTGAATGCACCTGTTAGAAAACATCAAATATTCCCTGTAACTCATTTATAGCGCACCACTCTGTTTAATGGAGTAAATATGTTGTAGCTATAAATGGAGCTTGTAGAGGTGTCGTGGTCGAGTGGATATGTCATTGGACTGTCGTCACAAGGTCCACGGTTTGAGTCCCGCTGCGGCACTAATATCCTTTGACATTGATCTACTTTTGCCACACTTGACCCGGGTGATGTACATGTAAATGGGTACCTGGCAGGAATTCCTTGAAATGCTAGAGCGCCGTAATGGCAGCCATGCTAAAGCCAGGGTAATAACTGGGAGTGTCAGGAGTGTCTGGAGTGTCAAGTCTGACAGACATGAGTGCTATACAAGAGCACAATTTTTCCATTATTATTATACAGAATGCCAACTCTATATTGGCTTTGAGGATTGTGTATTCAATACAGCATTTTTGTAAAAAGTTTAATTTGAATTTTCAACTCTTTGTTAGGAGTGTACTCACTTTTGTGGGATACTGTATGCTAGGTACATGTAGCTTAACAAAATGTAGCGGCCCAAAAAGATGCGTCCTGGGGGGTGTTTCACAAAGATTCCAAGTTGAACTTATCTCTAAGTTGGACTTAAAAATTATGGAAAGCCGTTAGCATCTTTGAAAATATTTTTTATAAAAGTTATTTTGAAAGGCATAAAATGTTGATTCAAATCATTCATATTTTCTATCATCAAGGAGATTTCATGTTCTTGATGTGGAATTTATAAAAACAAGTCTAAAATACTTGAATTTCTGCTTTTGAATATATTTCATTTTAAGGCTCCAATGGCTGTCCATAATTTTTAAGTCCAACTTAGTGTTAAGTTCTACTTAGGATCTTTGTGAAACACCCCCCAGAACACAAAATGCATCATTGTCGACAATCGTGATTGTAACACCTATTTGTACCATATTGTTAGGAGCTGGTAAATACATGTACTACATGTAGCTTGATTAGGTTTCATGTTACCTCAACTTTCATTCATATGTTATTATCCTTCTCATTCCATATACGGTCAAAGTGCTTTAGTGACCACCTGTCTACATAGACCACATTTTTTGTTTCCCTTTAAAATGGTTTCTCATTGAAACTTGTACTAAAGGAACCTGTCTACAAAGACCACTTTTTGTGTTTCCCTTGGGCGGTCGCTATAGACTGGTTTGACAATATTAGTGCATAAGGACCATATAAGTTCATACATCATGTTTTAGAAGTATACCTGTCTCACCTTGGATAACCAAACTTTGTAAATGGGCTAGTACATATGTGCTCTACTTGTCCAGTTTGAATGCAAGCCATGTCATATGTTATTGACTGAGTATCTGTATGCTCCTTTGGAATCCATGCTGATAAGGCAATAGATGCCTTGACTTCATTGCAAGTTGTTTCTGCAAAAGGATAATTTTCTTTAGTACAATGTCTTTTTGACAGGTTGTTAATAGACCACTGTCAAAAGATCTTTGCACAAACTTTTGTGACTTTTTTTTCTCTTAAATTTTGATTTCAATCACTCTCAGGAAAAAAGCAAAATGTTTGTACACCTTGATTGATAAATACAATTTTACATTGCATTCAAAGTACATGTATCACATAACATATGGATTAAGAGGCTGTGTTGTCAAAAAGGAAACTAAAATATTTCCTATTTGTACTGCATATTATAATTTTCCTCTTTTTTGTTGTTGCAAATCTGCAACATGGAGGTTTTTAGCCTTATGTGCCATAAGGTTAAATTTAGAAAGGAAAATAATGTTCAGTTTCATTTTGGGGTGTTCTGTATACTGTACAATGAATCTTAAGAGGTAATTTATAATAGCAGAAACTGTCACAACATAAAACTTTTGCAAATTATTAATAATGACTGTTTAGGCAAGAGAAATTCTTGAAGTGAATATTTTTCAATTATTTTGCAGCATCTTTTATCTTTATCAAAACTTGGCAACCTGTGAAACTTGTAAAAGTTTGCATGCAAAGTGTAAACAGTTCTGGTTTTTAACAGAGACTAATTATAACCTTTTTTTTTGCAATCTTTCTTGTACTTTTTCCAATTTAAAGTGTTTGAGTATTCTGAAAACATTGCTGTATGGTGACAGGGTTAATGAATTCATTACTTACATGTATTTTCTTTTGATATTTCCTTATTTCAAAGATACTATGTCCCTTTTGCTGCTAACAAATTCTGTAGAACTTTGTAGGAATTATGAATATGTCATGTATGTCCTATCTGGAAGTCCACCCTGGTATTATGTATCAGTAGCTAAAAGGTCTGATCGAGCGGTCATATTAAATGGTGAAATCTCACACAAAAGACTATAGATGGACTACATTGTGGATTGTGCTTACTCTCAATCTCTGAACTCCAAGGGCAATGGCGCATGTGTACAACGCTGCTCCAATAATCATGAATATCATGCTTAATTCATACATCCCCCCTTTTTTGGAAGACAAATAACTCTGTATTCTTTTTTTTGCATAAGAAAGATATATAACTTTCATTTGTCATATATTATACAAGTACCAGAATAACATCAGAAGCTGAAAATGTGGTTCATACTATCTGTAGATGTACTACTTCAGAAACTAATTAAAACCTGTTTATAAAAGTACATGTAATATCATATCATCATTTGTAAACAATATTGTACAGATTTCCTCTTGTCATTAAATCGTGAATAATGAGACGAATAAACGGCTTATGCCGAAAGGGTAGGTAGCGTCGCGTTGAGTTGAACGCGACCATTCGTCCAAACCCCCCCCCCCCCCCCCCCCCCCCCCGGGTTTGGCCGAAAGAGTGCATTGGGAGTGTCGCGTCGCGTTAACTTGAACGCTACCATTCGTCTAAAGCCCCCCCCCCCCCCCCCCCGCGGTTTTGCCGAAAGGGTTTGTTAAAAATATTTAAAAAGATAGAGAAGAAGAACTATCCGTTTATCTTACTTGTAGGTTGCTTGAACTATTTTTTATTATTAGGTGGGCTGTATCTAATACAGACCACCTTATAATTTTGTTAAAATCGCCTTTATTATTGTTCTTTATTATCAGGTGGGCTGTATATCGTACAGACCACCTTATAATTTCGTTAGAATTGCCTTTATTAGGTGGTCTGTTGTCAACAGACCACCTATTGATTTCGTCAGAATTTTCTTTCTTCTTTATTTATTTTTATTTATTTCTTCACTTTTTTGTGTGTCGGATAACGCAAGATTGGTTTTGTCAATTTCTTTTAATTGTGGCACAGGCATAGGTCATCGTCATAAGACGTGACAGAAACATTTTCAAGGTGATCAGGTCATTGTGACGTGATGTAGGCGCCATTTTGTGAAATCACATTATCAATCATATCTTCATGATGCGTCATCAAAGGTCATTCATATTCATATCACATATACTTCAGGTCAAGGGTCAACAGGTCGTGTCATCAAAGGTCAAACAAAGGTCATGATGCGCGCAAACGCGCACGTCAAAGTTTTTAATACACCAGTTTACAGTTGTGTGCGCCATTTTAAACAAAGCTAATGACCTAGGAGTCATGTATTTATGCGTAAATTAAGATTGGGCCCATGCAAATAATGATGACATCACTGCCTGCGCACTGCGTCGTGCGCGCACATCATCATTTGCATGGGCGCAATTTTAATTTACGCATAAATACCAGAGGTCAGAGGTTATTGGCCCCAATTTTGGGGCCAATGACCCGAGGTCAACTGTCTGCGCATGCGCACTGATACAACTGTAAACTGGTGTATTGCTCAAAATCACTTAACTAATAAACGAGAGAACGAATTAGGTCATTTGAAGCATTTCAAAATTTTCTCTCCGTACGTGTCCACGTGCGCGTTGTGCGCGCTCACAGCGCGCGGAAAAGGTCAATTTTTTTTTTTTTTACATGATTTAGATTCCTCTTACCGTAATTGACAATTTCCATGAATTTCAGTCACTCTTGACATTTCATAAGGCCGTGGTGCGCGTCAAAGTTCAAAATCCGCGCGTGCTACTATGGGCAATATAATGCAAATTAGATCAAAAATACGCCATTTTAAAAATCGAAATGGCTCTTCAGATAGTCAATTGACCCCAAACTTTTATATCATGGTTGGAAAAAGCATGAGTTGGAGATATGATTTCATGTCTCATTTAACCCTCAATTAACTCATGACGTCAGCAGATTTTTGGAAAATTGATTGTATCTCTGTAAATATTGATCAATTTTCTTTCAAATTTTGATATATTCTAGCTCAGACAATTTTCTACAAATGCAGTTGCTACTATCCTTCATTTTGACAAGGGCATCATGGCGTATTTTTGCGATTAAAGGAGGCATGTCAATTTTTTACATTTTGCGTGCATTCTCTATGGGACATGACTTTTTCTCAAAACTCGATTCTACATTCCCGTCTTTAGCGAGCAATATCTTCGTCGTTTTACCTTCGTTACGCTGAACTTCGAGTATGTTGTAGATGAGACAAAAAGCTATCTCAAATGTACCCCTTATTTTGTCTCAATTTTTTGTTGGATCAGCCCATCTATACTTGTTCCAAACAAGTATTACAAATACTGTTATTATTATTTGTCAAATTATAATGTGTTTAGTGTATATAAATGTTATGGCATGTCAAACTATTCAAAAGGGATATGACCCGATTCTGATAACTAAAATCTTTTACTTGTAAATACACAGGATAGGGGTAAATTAACAATCAAAGAAACCAGACTTTCAAATTGAAAACCCCCCGGAATGATATTAAGGACGGCATTTGTTCCCTCTTGAAACGCCAAACATACCGCGTAGTGTGCAGCTGAATATACAATGGCGTCTTATTTTGCTTACAAGCGACAGATTCCTTTATTTTGGTATCGCTGCATTTGTCATCAAAATAAACCATGCGCGGGGTTTAGAGTGAGGCAGTAGTGAAGTAAGAGAAAGAACTCAAGAGAAGATGAAAACACAGGCACTGAAAATGGGTGAGATGTCATGGGACATCGTCTGCTTGTGCAAATCATGTCCATACTGTGATCTCACACATCTCAGTAGCGTTCGGAGAGCTCTTCAGGTGCTATGCCGGGGCTGTATTTAAGCGTTTTGTAATTTTTAATAATCATTACTTCGAATGTGTCAAAGCATTGAATTTTGATAACCTTGTCGAATCAAAGCTTCAACTTTGCAATAATGAAAATA